ATGACGTCAACCTTTCCCTTACGATCGAGGATGCTTGCCCATCTGTCAACCGCAGTCAGCAGGTTGGTTATACAAGAGTAACCCTTCCTGAAACCATGCTGTTGGGGTGAGAAGAAATTTAAGGACAGTAGATAGTCGTTTAAACCGTCGCATATCAGGGACTCCATGAGTTTTGAAGGTAACGACAGAAGAGCTACCGGCCGATAACTTGAAGGTTCATTGCATCGACCTTCTTTGAAAATTGGTGTGATGTGAGACAACTTCCAATTTTCCGGTAATTTGCCTCGGCTTAGCGAGTGTGAAAACATCACGCTAAGCGGCGTTGCCAGGATTGAGGCTGCCTCCCTCAGTATGGCAGGATGAACCATATCCGGGCCAGGAGAAGTATCTAATCTTAAGTGCTGCAATTTCCGGAACACCAAGTCAGCGCTTAGGTCTACTTCGGAAAGTCCTGTAGAATTGCAGATGAAACTGTCGTCAGTAAAGTTGATGTCAGCCGGTTGAAATGTTTGAGAGTAATGTGCCGCCAGAACGTCAGCGGCGTCGTCATCGTTGTTGGTCGGGCCGTTAAGACCTACTAGTTGAGAAACTCCTGCTTTGGCTTGACGAAGAGAGGCTGCATAGCGGAATAGGCTTCTAGGGTTAGAGGCGAATTTGTCCATAAGCTTTGTCTGGTACTAAAGCCTGTCTTCTCTTACAGCCTTCGTGCATATGTTCCTGATATGTTTATATTGCCTATACGCTCCGTCGTTATCAGTTCGTTTGTATTCTGCCCAACAATGCCTTTTGCGGCTTAGCAGGCGAAGGGTACGGTTCTTGACTACTGTAGGTGGCTTGCATCTTTTGGGAACCGTTTGAGGAACTGAATGGTTTGTAGCACATAAGAGCGTGTGCAGTAAGAAGTCCCAATGGCCGTCCACATCGAGTTGAGGGTGAACATCCCAAACCACCTGTTGTAGATAGTCATGTAGAGCTGGCACATTCAGCCGTTTAAAATTCCAACGCAAATTATTGTTGGGGTACCTTAGCTTAGTTTTGATGACAAAACTTAAGGCTATGACGGCATGATCGCTCTTTCCCAGAGGGGCCAGGATTGAGAGGTTGTCAACTAGGAATTCTTCGTTAGTGAATACACAGTCTAAGCGCGATGGTGTCTGACTGTTTCTCCAACGAGTCGCCGACCACACTTTTTCCTATAAGCCCAAGTCATCGATGAGGTTGAAGAACCGAGCTTCAATTGAGTTGTCGCCTCCAGTGTACGTGTGTTCCGCGAAGTTGACTCTAGGGAGATAAAAGTCCCCTAGAATCAGGATGTGTGTGAAACCGAAACGGGTAGGGCGGGATAGTCCTTCCAGCATACGACCATCGTACTCGATGTCGGCAGTTTGCTTCCTGTAAATGACTCCGACTAGACACCTCGAAGTACTAGATAATCTTACAGAGCACCACATGGATTCCTCAAGATTGTTAAACTCGAGGTTGTGAACTTGGTGCACCTCTAAGCAAGAGCTTATGTATATGGCTACTCCGCCCCCAATTCCTGTTTTCCTGTCGTTGCGGAACAAAGTCATCCCAGGCAATGCTAACTCTTGGTCCGAGAACTGAGAAGATATCCAGGTTTCAGATATTCCTATCAGATGGGCCTTATTAGCGTTGCTAAGTTCACGTAGTTCATCCAGTTTGTTTGGTAGACTCGTGGCGTTCATATATAAGCAGTTTATGCTTTCAATTTGGAACGCGTGAGCTTCGTCCTGTTTTTCTGTATGAGCCTTATGTGAATGGACAGGTAGCCCACCTATATGAGGTTTGCCGAGGTGGTAGGCCCTGTCCTTTACACGTCTTTTTTAATCATTTAGACAGTCCACAAGTGGAATGGTCAGCTCCAACTTGCTTTTGTGTTTGGTCCTAGCTTCATATGGCCTATCCGGGTGCATGTGGATTCCAGGTGGCAATCGACGTCTGTTGGCACGAAATGCTTCCAGAACTGCAGCCGCCATGTGGGAAGATGGGAAGGTTATCTTCATTAGACGAGGTCTAGGATCACCGTTTTTCTTGGCTAGTCTCGTCACATGCTGAGTCAGTATGTTTTTGAGCCTCAAGGACCGTTTGATGAATTTCCATTCCCTGATGTCAGAATTTGATTGAGTAGGGTCTGCATTTTCCGGTATACCTTCCACAATTATGTTTCTTCCGCGGAAAAACTGATCGCGAGTTTCTTTGGGGATGTTCCGTATGATATCGCGCTCAGAGTACGGTATGTCGGGCAATATTTTTACGTTACCATTGGATTTCAACAAGTGACTTGCTAGCAAGACGTCCTCTACGTCGGCAGCATTCTTAAGTGTTACTCGGAGAAGCCTCGGGTGATTTAGATGCTTAGAATCCTTTCCTCGAATGAGCCGGGTGACCGTCAAAGGCTCTGTTCTAGGAAGTTCGAGCTTCTTGTTCAATTCACCCCAGAGCATCCTGTCGTTTTTGTCCTGCAGACTGAGAGGAAGATCAGGATTGTCGACGAGGTTCATGATAATGAGAGAATCGTCACGAACTGTTGTTAATTTACCAGATTTCACGACGGGTTCAGGTTTAATAACTTGTTGTTTGGAGGTTGGTGCGCGTTTTTGAGTCTTGGGCTCTTTGTTGACCGGACGAACAGACTTGGGGGTAGACTGTGCGACCAAATCACCAGTTATTTTCCGTACAGCAACACTTGGGTTGCTCGGTTTAGGCAGTGATGCCTGGTTCTTTTGGGCTCTCTTTACGTGGGTCGAATCACCTACAGGGTTTTTGGGAACCACTGTTGTGTTCAGGGACCCTAAGCTGGGAGACCCGAGTTTGCTTAAGGAGTCTAGTACCGTCGACGTAATGATGGTGCTGAGCCTCGACACGTCATCATTAGTGTTGACGGATGCTCCATCGGTGGTATACCTATCGGCATCCCTATTTTTGTATCCGTCGCACGCTCTTGTTTGTCTACCGGTTATTTTACTATCGTTATCCAAGTTAACTGACAACTTGTTCCGAAGACCTGTCAGTAGGACAATGATGTTACTCAGCAAGACTACAGCGTCCGTGCTGCACGTGACACACACCCACTTTTGCTCTGACTTGTTGAGTCTGTTGTAAGCAGTTGCTGTCAGATCTGTGCATGCTTCGTGGAACCAACCTTTGCAGTTGTCGCACTGCATGCCAGTTGTAACAGCAAAACGGCATCCCGGACGTTTGCATGAGTTTTTCATGACTGTGTTGAAGCAAACTGTTATAGATGCTTGCAAAAGCCTAAGACCTTTAAAAAATACTAAAAAGCACACTGAAAACAGACAAAAATAGGTAAAAACGAGTGATATAAACTGAAACTAGTCTATACGTGAAAAACAAAAAAAACCGAATAGTAAGCTGAGGCAAAACCACAGGTAACTATTAAATATGGTGAAACTAAAAAAAGTAATCTACCGAACGTATAGCTCAGGATAGATTCTTTAGAACTGAAATGGTACTTTTGTTGCGTAAGAACACAGCAAAAGTTTGATATATGCAAATCACGTTAGAACTAAACTTCCCGTTCGAAAAGCGCGCACAGGTAATAAGATAACCGGGGACCACGCCTGCATGGCCGAGCCATGCCTTTCGATCAACTCCAATTCACTCAATACATTCTTGCCGCCTTCTCCATCGTTAGGTATTTCTCCGCGTTAAATATTGAATATCTATTTTCTGAGTAGTCTCGTGTTCAGCTTTGTGGACTGTGTGGTTATTGTCCGGTGCCACTACAGATCTCCCATAAAGTTTCATAGGGCCATAGTTCTAAAGGTGAAATACTGTAACATCTGTGACGGCTCACTCCTGTTACATACTAAATAAAAGATAGTAATGAATTAAGTGAAGAATGTTGAAAAGGTCAGTAAGCACATTAGATGTTCCTAAGGAAAGAATTTATGCAGCTGTGACTTACCTCGACTTCATGAATATCAGATCACGCCAGCTACTACAACTTGTGCAAAGCACCGCATCATACAGCATTTATTATTTTGCTCCCATTTAAGTATTCCCATGCATCTGCGTCTGCTTTTACAGGAAGATATACAAGTTGATTTAGTGTCTGGTAAACTAAAAGTACCAGTTGTCAAAAAGACTCTTAACATTTTTCCACAGCCAGCAGCATTTAATTAAGACAGAACACTCCTTATCTATGACTGTATACTCCTGTTTTGCAGGCAAATAAAAGCTCAGACACTTAGCTATCCTGCTACCGATGTTATTGCTGTTGAATTTGTTTAATGACAATGGTCTTGAGACATGGACAGGGTTAGACGTACTGTCTACAAATAAACACCAAACGTACTTAAAGCTATCTTAGAATATATGACAGCAACAGTACCAAAGGCACTTTTTTCCTATTTTTATTCAGACTGATTTCAATCAGTATACTCATTAAAAACAGGCAGTTCTACTTATTAAACTGATCCGCTTCATCACAGGCTTTAAGCACTATACTTAAGTATACTATAATTCTATAGACTAATCTAAATTATACGGTAACCAAAAATACTAAACTAAGCAAGTGTCATAACTATTGTTCCATTTGCACAGACATGTTGCTAAACGGAGTAAAATGAACATAATTCAGCCGATAAAACCAAAACACGAAATATAGGCCAGTCGAACTTACCTAAGAGAAGACAAAGGATATATATGTTGCTTCGAGACTGAAGACAACAGTCAGTTGTTCATTAAAAAAACATAGTTCACAGTACGACAAACCTTTCTTCAATAACATCATGCACTGACGGTCTATCCGAAAACAATCAACTATGTGATTAAGCTCATTATTACTTGAGATATCATTCCAGAGTGCAATGAACGTACAGTGTAACGCAGCCAGACGTGGCGAATAAAAACTAAAAACAGGTCAGAATTAACAACATAATCTAGTTACTTAATTAAAAATACATTACGAAATGACAAAATCTGTGGTTGCTTGAACGCACAGATGACCGTTATTACACATGGTTGCGATGCGAATAAATTCACCCGCTCGGTAACATTTCACAGGCAGCGCTCCAGGGGTATCGCGACACTTTTTTGCGCTACTTTTTTATTTCTGCTTTGTGCACAACCAAATTTCGAAATACATTATGAATAAATTTGAACGTTTATTTTCCGTTTTCATAATTAGGTAAAAAGGGGTTTTTCCATTTTGCGTTACATGGTATCGCGAAGTCTTTGAAAATTCACTATTCAGGTGCTGCTATAATAGTTTTTCGGTGTTTGCATCGCAGATTAGCAATTATTTCTAGTTAGGTATACACTGATAGTAGACAATTCTTTTATTCTTATATGAAATAGCAAGATTCAGGCATATATCGTCATAAAAATTGTATTGTCGTCAAGGCTACCAAAACTGCGTTACAACTAACGATACCATGGTAAGATTTATCGTTTTTCCTATCTTTATCACAATTTCTGCTGATTTTCACTGTTTTGTTCGACTTTTATGGCAGAAATAGGTTTATAGTGAAAACATAAGGTGTCCTGAGTGTTGTAAATATTATGTATATGCTATAGATGATAATAACACATATCTTAAGATGTTAATATCACCTCCTACAGTTAGATATATTAGCCACCAGATGATTGTATTGCAGGAAATAAATCATAATCATGCGGTAGAGGTATAATTATGTGGGGATTCTGCCAAAGACCAATCTAAGATAGCATTACTACCTCTTTTGTAGATCTACACAATTATTTGGCTGTACCAAAGCATGTCATTGAGAGATGGTTGTGACTTTTTTCTTTTTTTAAATTCTGAATTCACGGGACGACTACCTCAATTCTCAATAGCCGTGCAATTGTTTTGATGTTCTACCTACATTTCAATAAATATTTTTCAGACAGCTTACTTTTTTACTTACATGGGAAACTGTAGAAGTGTTGAGAATGTGTGTTTGAGTGTCAGTGAACTTTTGAATAAATGCACATTCCTTATAAATAATACATCACGTGTTTCTTCTTTTGCAGATAATTTCAAATAACAATGAATTAGCAATTGCATTGGATATGCAAAACAATCGATGCTTAAGCTTCTGCTCTAGTGTTGTACAATAATACGCTTTACCTTTTAAATAAAATTTTTCAAAAACATGCCGGTTTTACGCTGTATTGCAGATTTATTTTGGTCTGTTGTTGAAAATAAAGGCGAACATAGTAGACCTTTGGGGTTATGTTAATGGATGGAAAATAGGGAGTTCTGTGTGTATTTAGGCGAAAAGCAGACAATTCAGCTGACATTTAGGCAAAAAGTGAGTAATTTATCGACAAAACGGCAAAAACAGTCGACATTCTGATGCGTTTTCCCCTTTCGCTACCAAAGCATTTACCCCTTTATTTCCCCTTTTTGGGTTGTCTGGGGAGCTACAATGTTTTGGCTGCCGGTATTATTGCCAAAATACCTGATAGCAGAAATAAGTACTGCTATAAAGCTGTCACGAGAAAGCATTGAAAAGTACGACTCGATAGTCAAGATATCTTGATCTAAGGTGACCAGATTGTGTGAGATCCTATGTGATGATCTTCGGAAATCAACCAAGGCCTGTCTAGCTTACGTGCTGATGCCGTAAATGACAATTACTCATAACTTACGTGGGACTAGAATAGAATATGCATCAAGAACTGCAGGTTACACAGGACGATTCAAAGTAAATTCACACAGCAGTCTTTATATATGTTCGTCGTCGAAGTTTCCGAAGTGCAATCTGTCCAAAGAATTAAATAATACATTCCGTGTATGTTGTGACCCAGACTTTCCTAAGCAACGCAAGAGATAAAGGAAATAAGCGTGATTGACTATCCAAAGAAAGGGTGTGCTAAATGCACTTTCGATCTGTAATTGAATACTGGTTTCCGTTTTTATATTAGTTTCTGGTAAACATTTATACTGAAATAACTTTCCTGTCTATCTTATTTCCAGCTAGCTTCGCAAGCGTTCACAGACCTAACGGGAACAATTCCTGAGAAATAGAAGTTATTTATTAATGGATCATTTGTGCTAGATTCAAACTTTAATAAACGTTTTCATTTATAACGCACCAGTTTTTTAATTACGGCAATTCGTATCTATCGTGACAGGTCGAAATTCGAACTACTAGTATGGTACACCATGTTCAAGGTTGCAGTATTTGGTAAACGGTATGTATGACTAATCGCGTGTGCGCCAAACTGGTAATTATTACACAAGAACGCGAAACAACACCCCTGTCTCACAGCTACATAAGACTGCACAGTACACTCCCTGCCGTTACGCTATAAGAATAAGTCAATGGCCATATAAATGAATTTATGTAAAACTAAAAACATTACAATATTATAACTTCTTGTTATCAAGAAGCATAGCTATGGTCTGTATTAACAATGGATTCTGACGTTGTAGCTTCGTCATTAGCACCGATTGAACTCATCAATTGTGCACATATGTCTTCCGATGCTTCGAGGCACGAACGGATGAGTTTACTTGCCAAAGGTTCACTAAGAGCATGGATTGAGTGGTAGTCGCTAGCGAACTTCTCTAGCAGATCATCACTCCCTGTAGAGATTGAGATGTTGTCCAGCGCACGAAGAACCAGGTCCATTATGTATTTTCCTGTCCACTTGTTGCTATGTCGAAATAAGTCTACAAAACATGTAGAGATAAAGGATTACACATACCTCCACGAATCAGATCTTTAGAATGTGCATACAAAATATGACCACAGGGCAGCATGTAGTCATTGAAGCGCAATATTTCGACCTGAAGGATAAATTCATTTGAAGTAAGGCATACGTAGATGACCGACGTCGTCTCCTTTGCCTAGGTTGTGTTGGCGAGTTAGAAGTTGTATGCTCTTCAGAAGAATGATTATTACTATCATCATCTACATCCTGAACGCAAGCATCTGACTCTAACGAACTGCGTTTACGTCCATATGTACAGACATAACTCACGAAAAAGTACTTTTGAGTTGGATCATCACTGTTCTCTTTGCATACTGACATAACGTACTTAGTACGCGTATACTAAAAAATATATTATTAACCACAGAAGTCATATTACCTATATTATGCATCATCACGATGGCATCGTCTTCGTTACTTGAAGAATGAACGTTACTAGACATGATGTGGCTGAACTCAATTCAAATCTAAAAATGTCTTGATTTGACCGCTTCTGAAAATTTTCACGAATTGTCGATGTGACGCACCAATCAGTTTGCTACAGTTTGACCTTCAAGTGCTCGCAACTCCCATCAGTGGACGATACCCTAGGAGCGTTGCCCATTTCACAGGACCAGACCAAATAATCCGGCGGTCGGGTCACTTATTGTCGAACAGTTCATCGATCCTCGTGAAGCTCAACGACACAAGCTCTATTTCTACATCAGGACTAAAGTGTAAAAAAGTTAATTAAGATATCTCGTCATCAATACCCTGGACATTGGACGCATAACTGTCCTAGTCACCATCCAGTGCCTCAAGGTTAGTGCGTTGTCATTGGTGTGCATGTTCTCTGCTTTAAAATGTCCATTGTAATAACGGTTTTCAGTTGTAATAATGAATTCTATTCACTGCAGCTAGATGACATTGTTATCGAACTATAGCCTTCCCAATCTCCCGAGTTTGGGGAAATCCAGGGATTTTCCTCAAAGTCGTGTGAAAGTTCGTATATTTCCCAAAATCTGGGAAATTTTGGGTTTCTTAATGCAGTTCACCAAAACGTTCTGTTGTGACTTCCCTGAAACTGACAGAATTTTGCATAGAATCGGTAGATTGAGTCAATTTATCAACACTTGCAGTATTAGATACATCGTCAGCAGTTACATGGAATAAAATAGTACGTTAGACATGTGGCTTTGTGATATTTGATGCCACATGTCGGTCACACGAACTGTTACGCTTATCATGATGTTGCAATGTTTTTCGTCAAGGCGATTAGAGTACTGCAAACCACAATACTTGTGTAAACCTGTACGAGACAAATTGATTTATGTTAAATTTTACTAACTATAGTATACAAGGTGGTTATTATCGCAGTGGAAACTTTATGTATGGTACTTCCTAAGAGATATTATCGCTTTTAGAGTGAGTTATCTCCTGAAGAAGCTATGTTAAGTAGTTGTCACTACACTTACATACTTTATTTCCGTTTAACTCTTTGAAACACATTTCCCCTGTTAGTGCTTCCGATTGCCTTTCCAAGAGTCTACTCCCAACTTAGAGACTTATGGGTTTGGATTACGTTAACTTTCTGTTGCTGTTAGGTGGTAGGTTTTTCTGAATAAGTCCAAGTGTGAACCATAATGGAAAATATGTTTTTATGACTTTCTTAAGTCTCTTTATTTTGAAAACATTAATTTAATTAAGTGTGATCGTTCCATTTTTATGCAACTAAATGTATTGAATGTTCACGTATCAGAAGATATATCCAATTTTTGACATTGCCACTCAGAACTCCATATAATTTAAAGAAAATATTTATCTCTACTGAAGATCAGGGATATTGAGTGACAGTCTGCCCCAACCTCACAGATATTAGACCATTGAAACTGGGAAACAAAGATTTTATATACTCGATCACAAGTACTCTCGATGTGATTGGTTGGCACTTACATAGAACCTGACACGAATATATGTCGGCCAAACTTGCTGTATTACATATCAGCATAGTGTGAAATGAAATTGACGGAATGAGAATTAGATCAATTTCAACTACAGCAGAAATTTAATCATTGTAGAGACTTCGAAATAAAGGAGAATTAAGAGGTAGTAGTAACACAATTCATGATTGAAAAAAAAAACGGTATAAGTGTAACTTCATTACTGTGAACATGGCGTATTAAATTAATGTAATTTGTTTATCAACTATACGTCTATGTATTTTCCTTTGAGTCATAGATCTTATCTGAACATCGCTGAAACTACTGTAATTAAAGTAAATAGTTCAAACCGGCAACATAATGACAGAATGTCAAGTATCCGTGCTGTATGCAAATTACTATGTCAAGAAATTACGCCACATAAAGCTTTTAACTGAACATGTTTTGCACTTGCCGATGTATTGTTAAATTTGTAGGTAGGTGGAATTTATAAAATGTCTATACTTAAACAGATTAAGAATTTGTATTAGTGTAGAAAGTCACCTGATGAACTTCTGCTATAAAATGACATGCTTTCCTAAAGATGTTTTAAACTAGGTGACGTGGTTCAATATATATACAAGTGAAGCAAATAACTCCTTGTTCTGAGGATTTTTATTACTTCCTTGGATTTATTTCCATTTTTTGGTAGTCGTAAACCTTGTTTCTATTCCCAAATAACCTGTACGTATGCACTGTTTAAAAAAATCAGTACAACCCCAAATATTTCGAATATTTCCATCTTCCGTTTAAGCTCCATTAGATATAATCTACCTTTATAATTTCTCGATTCACCAGTGAAGATAACGTTTTTTAATTTAAACTACACCTACATCTTATGGGTTGTTAACTTCAGATAAATGTCTAGACATTAGATAATTAATTACACAAATGAACTAAATCCTCGGCTATTTTATTAGCCCTATAAATTTGCACTAACAAGCTAATCCGTGTTTTTTTTCAATCATGAAGTATTATCAGTCCTCTCATGGCTCGGAACCTTCAAGGTCTTCTTCGCCTTGCCGTTGAACATTCTGAAAATGCCGCCACAAAACCCATGGACCCAAAGGTAATCCTACTTTTAAGTAGCTGATTTCAAAAAATAGGATGCCGAATGGTTGGATAAAGCACTAAGTGCATCAACTGTCGACTTGAGTAAACAGCTGACTAACGATGTCCAAACGTTATCATCCCATTTGTCATCGTCGGAGCCCGATTTAAATGAAACGAAGAATGTCATTGAAGATTTGTTAACACTGACTGAAGATTTGGACTTGTCGAACGACTTTTTGATTGTTGGAGGTCAAGATGTACTACTCAAACTATTATTTTGCGGCCCACCTTCCTTAAGAATAGATGGATTGAAATTATTAGCAAATATCACTCAAAACAATCCTCGAGCTCAAAGTTTGTACACTGAAAACGGCGTCCTGGCTCGACTAATTATGCTATTTGAAGAAGAGACAGATCTAGAATTTCTGAGACATCTGTTACTAGCCATATCCTGTGAGTATTTTTCACCAATCAATGTATTTTAATGTTTGTTTGGCTGATAAAAGTTTGAACTAAACAAAGCTCCTATATTTAATATACATAACATAACAAACAGCAAGGGAGTCGTACGATTTTTGGTATAAATCATAAAGATAGCGAAGATAATTGTACTTAAGTATTAATATAGACACTAACAGGCTGGAATTGTATAATCTGCCTTCATTATTTACTATACTGAACTTTTTAAATCTTATTTGATAATTAACAATCTTTAGTGGTACATTTACTCCTACTGAAACTTGAGATGAACCTATGGTTAAGTATGGAAGTCGAAGGCTAGATGATCTCGTGTTTACTATCCAAGTGATTAACAAACTCAACGACAGTGGATTTGTTTCAATGTGTGATCAATAAATGGGCAGTCCTAATATTTTTTGAGGTAATGAACGTTGTTTGAAAACTCAATCAGAAGTTAGAAGTTTAACATGCTAAATAGTTTTTTAGTGGTTCCCGAATTGAGTCCACTATGTCACATACAGCTTGTGATGTTTTTTGCATACTTTTATCTTGGACATTCATACTCAGTTTTTGATTTATCACACACAGGTACCATACGAGGTTATGTGCCAGGAATTAATGTATTTGTGGAATCAAAGGGTGTTGATCTTGTCCTCAGTGTACTTATCAGAGAAGTGAAAATAGGAAAATCAGATAAAGCACATCGCTTAGTTTCCAAAGGTGCGTTCCTAGTCTACTGTGTTCTGCAGGAACTTGCTTCAAAACATATACGTGAGTACTTTGTTTTATATTTCGCATGCAATCCGGTAGTGTTTCTTTTTTTGAAAAAATTTGGATGTTAGACGTTTGGATTTTGTTGGCAGAGAGCCGGAACCAAACTATCCTATTTCCTCTGTATACCATTACTAAAGATTATATATATGCATAGGTGGACCCTCTGTATTTAACAATTCGGGTTAAGTTCCGGATGTTCGTTTTTCCCGCCTCACTTTCGTTAAAACTTCGTATATATATCTGAGTGAAACTATAAACACGGATCTAAAAAATCTCTTGATAAGGACTATCTTTATTGCGAGTCTCACCAAATAAACGTCACTGGAATTGTACTAGTACCAAAATTCAGAAAATATCCCATAAGTGTAGCTCACTTCATTAATTTAGAAAGGGTAGAAACAACGATTTCTGCTAAACCATATGGATTCACTGTGAAAACCCACCCAACAAAAATTGGTAGAGTATTAATGTCTGATCACAACTTCGTGCTTCGGTTTGGTCACCCGGGCAGTATCACAGCCTTCACACAAACCAATGATAACTACCACTGGCTTCACTGTTATTGTATAGCGCATGTGTTTGGTTCGCCGTTGTACCAACGTTTATGTGTTCAAATAATAATAATAGCCAGTCATGAGCAACATATAACCTACTGCAAGTTCGCATCGTCTCAAGTCAAATTTCGTGTCCATGCAGTAAGGAGAAACGAACCGCATAAAATCCGAGAGGCAAAATAATTATAGTAAAAATAGTCAATCAAAGATTAGTCTCAGCGGAATAAATCGGATCGAGGAGTAAGATACTTAAACCTAAGATTTTAGAAATGAACATTTGTGCAGTTGATACTGATTTCAAGGCATGTCTTCATAATTTCTGTTAGATTTCGACGTGTACTCTTGGTTCTATCACGTTTTATTAGTCAGCTCAATTAATTAGTTGATTTTAAGCGGACGGGACACTGCAGGCTTCCTAGTCAGATTTTTGTTAGTTTGGTATACTCTATTGTTCATTTCCCTGTATAGGCTTAATTGCACTATAAATGTCTTGAGTGACCCATTTCATTTAGGCTGATAGGGGCCATTGAGATTTGTAATGTTCCTCGTTCTCTCAAGTCTTTGACCGGTGCACTCAACTGAACCAAAAACGTAAATAATACAAACATAAATGTCCGCAAGACAAATATCAGAACAAGCGTACAGATACAATAACACTAGGATTGCGAAGAAAGCATATTATTATTATTATCAGCTTTATTCAATATTATGTTTATGGTACAGTATAGAATTCTCAGCGTAAAGTATTCTAAAGTCCTCAGGTTCTAAATGATCACAGAGAAGAATCGGCATGCTCCATTTGGCACCCAAGCCGATTTCTTACGCGTCAATTCTTTTAATAAAATCTACGTTTAGATAAATTAGTTACTTCTATTCTTCTTATCACATTTCAGTAGTATTTGCATTTTCCAGTTTCTATTCAGATATTTTTCTTTTTTGTTGCACTTATCAAAGAAATACATTCATGTTTCAGCATCTGAATCTTCGTCCATCGTACACAAAGTGATAGATCTATTATATCTCCTAGACGATCCACAGGAGCACCTACTGGCTGCTTTATCATTTCTCCTCCGTCCATTAGGTAGTCACTCAAGTTATACTACAAATATACAGTCCGAAGAATCGTGCAAATCATTTCCTAATTGGCTACAACGGCACTTAGACGAGCTTCGCAAAATGAATGACCCAGCTGATGAAGAACGTCGCGACTATATAGATTGTTTGCTAAAGGTTTTATCTTGAACAAAACTTGTTTCTACATCGTTAGGATTTCTAACAATGTAACTGTGGCAGGATTATAAATTTTTTTGTTAAATACTTACAACCTTTATTGATGGTACAAATAGTCTGGTTGGTTTCGCGTCATTTGTTGAAGAGTCATCCGAAACGAGTATGAGCAGTGTCACCTGCCCACTACTTGACTGCTGAATTGCTAGGCCATTTAGGATCTATATACAATGCAGGAAGAAACTGCTATAAAATATTTTTCGCATCACTCTCGCTACCAAATTGAATTTAAGATCTATAGCCTCGATATAACAACAGATTGTTAGTTAATGGCTGCTAACCCTGGAACATTGTTAATGTACGTCCATAAACAAAAGTTTCTGGTTGACTTTGATTTAATAAAGCAACATATACACGTTACTACAAACCATCCGTTTCATTTATCTTTTTACCTGTTTTCGGAACTTTTCTGTTTGTATTTGCAAGTACTTTCTTAGATAAGCAACGGCTTTATCGATAGCTGTCTAATTACTTCACTACATATAATAAGTGCCATGACCATTGTTATTAGAAGTTTCTCCTAAGGTCCCAAATATGGAGCTATGAACCATTTACTCCTATAATCGTGAAGCTACTAAGTTGGGGCTAAATTAGACCTATAGTTCAATGAAAGCAGTCGGATAAAAACCACTGCGTTAGGTATTTCTCAATAGGAATAGTCTGATATAACAATAACGATCAGATATTGCAGAAATTAGATCTGACCGCACCACTTATCCCCATTAACTTGCCTTTGTGGTTAGCATAAATTACGTCATGACTCTGCCTAAAACCTAATTCAGCAAGAGACAATTATCCCTAGCACTTCAGTGGGATATTGAACGCCATTGCTTCCCAGGAAATTTCCGTGATACACCCAGCCCTTTTCGAGTATGCACCATCCAAAAAAACAGTAAGTAGTTAGATACTTCATTTTCATAACGACAGGCTAAAATGTCCCGTCACAGACATTCTTGGAATGGACTTTGGAATTATCGCCACGGGACTCGTGTTAGTCAAGTAATGCTTTACTAGAACCCGAATGATTAACAGTAAAAAGTATAACTGGCCCATGAGTACTTCATCTATACAACACTACGGGGATATTACTATACACCCCGCAGCGACGATACACCTGTCTTAACGGAACTTTTCTTGACCCACCTGAAGAGAAGCACCATGAATAAAGCTATAACACTCAGTGAGATAATGAGTCCGGCCCCAAGAAGTTAACTCGTAGGAATAAGATTTGAATTTTCCTTCAATACAACTGGAGAAGCTGATACCTCACAATAACCCATCCGCACTCTGGGTTAGCGAATGCCAATAATCTATGAAGGAAACGTAGGACTATGACAGTCTACCTATAGTGATTTTCAATTGGCTGTAATCCTCATAATCTGTTGAGCCTACGGCTATCGTCCACGAAATTGGTTGACTCCTTAGAACTGCGATACGTAGTGTGGTATATCAGCTTGTCGTTCCTTTCTGTTCGACAAAACTACAAGGCGTTAGTTCTTACATTGCGTGGAAATCATCAGCGCAAACAACGCTTAATACACACGTTCGCAGGAATACTAGAAACCTTTGGGCAGGAACCCATGGCCTCCAGTACACAAATTGTTTGGGAATGTGACTTAACGAGAATATCCAAAGGATGACAACCGAGTGACATGTAGTCCTAAGTATGTTGACATAGGGACTTGAGCTTCGTACTTACACTTACCGATGATTCCTAACACACGTAGAGATGTTGAAAAAACTTAGTGAGTATACATGGCCGAACCAAAACACGGCTTAAGTCCATGAAGTCACTGACAAGTGGACTGAGTCATATTGGTCGGTGCAGACTACCTGGTTGGGGACCGCGAGATGATAGCAACCGATGGTTAGAGATCTTAAATGACATGGCTCAAAATCCTTTGCAATGGCGCAGGTGCATCCACTCTGTGTTCTCCCAAATTCTAATCTTCTGAATTCTTCATGTCCCTTTTTTCCTCTTTCCAAATTTATTTCACTGGATTATACTCCTTGAATAACATCTCCAAACCCTAATCTTCCCGATTACTGCTTGTACTTTTATTACCTCTACCACTACGGGATTTGAATCGACAACTGCATCTCTGTGCTAATGTGGTGTGACAACTCGAACTGATGTACGTACGTACGAAGTTCTACGTTGTTACTGACTGACTAGTGAGTATATATCCGGACACAACTGTCATCTTCTAGGACACCCCCATGGTTACCTGTAGACGCTTTCAACTGATTGCGCTAATATTTGGATGGTTCAGTTACAAATATTGCATGTAGCCAGGAATGCGACCTCAAGCGACTAGTCAGAATCTCTGCCATTCATATTTCGATGACGCTACTAGGAACACGAAGCAATAGGTGTTTCTATCCAGTCTATATCAGCGTTAATTATGCTTTATGACTATCCTGAGAAGGGACCTAGCCAATAAATACTCTCAACAACACTAATACACGTGCCGAAACATTATACACAAAAGACGACCTATTTGAGCTCTGGGGTATGAAAATTTAAGTCGTATCTCAAACTAACATACTAGTGTAACGAACTTGACATTTCTAAAGCAAAACCTGGAGTTCGTTCCCGTTCAGCATATTATAAATAGAAGGCCCAAAAGCCGCATACACCTACGAAGCTTCACCTGAGTCGAAAGCATACAGTATTTAGGAAAACGTGCTGTTGAATGACGTGGGGACCGTTAATTAAATCTTAAGAATTCCATGGGCCTAACAGGGCGGAAATCCTCAAGGACATAGATCACGTACTTCTTAGGTTACAACAAGAAAACGAGTACGACAATAAAGAAAAGATGCATTACATCGTCTGCATTTATTCCACCTTCACACTCAATAAAATCATTTAGATTCTGTTACTGTAGGAGTAAGTGCATGTTGCAGGTTTTTATTCCCGCGTTTATTATGCTTTTTGGCAAACCTCATATTCCTTAAGAATTTAGGGTCAACCTATGGAACTGATGTGTTAAAATGACGAACTTACGCCTTTAAGTGACGGATATCGCTGTTTCTTTGGTTTATGGATACCGTTACGGTGTTGCTTTCGATCTGCACATACAATTGAAGTGAGCAGTAATACATCTTACTTTGATTATGACTCGTATGGTTTTTGCTCTTAGCCATGGCACACTCTTGGATGTTGACCTCGCGGTTAAGTAGCGCTATTACAGTGTATTCAAACTTCAAATGTAAAATTTGCTAGGTGGTTATAGTAAGTATTGTCTTTTAAGTCCTTATTCTTTGTGATAAAAACTAGATTTCGGTTACAGAAAGCTGTATTTTTATCCTTGGTACTTAAGAATGTAAAGGATATAAACGGTCTTACTGAAAGGTGTGATTTTGGAGTAACAGCTTGAGTAATCGCTTTTGATACCTACGAAACTGAAGAAAATGTTGAGTCATTCTTCGAAAGACTGATTGAGGAGTGACGTTGTAGCAACTATTGCTGCTACATGCTAGGGTAACTTGTTCTAATCTTTGACCGGATGAATTATTCTAAACTTTCCAATCACTATCATTCGTGAAGATGATATTGGGCATAATTGTATGATTGTATTGATGTGTTTAAAAGTTTTCTTTTACATCCCTCATATTTATAAATGTGTACATACATACTATTCACAGAGTTGGCAGTGTTTGCTACTCGAATTCCCATCCATTTCTCTTTGTCTCAACTACATTACCAAGTGTTTGAAATATACGTTCGTATCCAACTTTTATATCTAATTTATCGTTGGTTGAACTTCCAGACGGAGGTTAAGTAAGATTCTTTCCGAAAGTTTGTGAATACAAATCCCTTCACGTACACGCTGTTGCAATATGTTTTTGATTCATTCAGATGTATATTTCGTTGGTCGTTTGATACCAATGGATATAGTACCATTTATATTATATTCTAGTTTTGTTTTCATATATTTCACCGAATTTTAATGTCTTTCCTGAATCATATATACGTTACTTTATTTGATATCTAAGTACGGCGGCCGCCATATAAATTTGATCCCCCTTTTGTGCTGCTTGAAATAACTAGAGCTGTGTATTTTTGGCTGTGAATTAAGGCACTTTTCCAAAACTGTAAGCACTCTATGTCATAAGAATGTTAAGTATCACCTTTTGAACAACCTGGATATTTACTTTTTGCACTTGATTTGACTACTGATTGAACAATTATTGGTTGAATAACTGTTTAGGACCATAATTTACCCACTCACCTTGTTTTTGGCTTTGACTAGAGGACGACTCGTACTTAAACTGACCTTAACAGTCATTTCTTGTTGCAGACTGCTTTATTTTGGAAGTTACAGTCACATGAATTAAATAGAACCGTTGTTTTATTACCATTATTAAGATTCCGTTAATTTGCAGTTAAATGACGGGCTCAAAATCGTCAACATCAAGTCCAGTTAATAGCTCCAAAACTTACAAATTCTAGGCAGGAAAACCTTCATCTAAATCATTGTGCTTACTCTTGAAGATCACTAACGTGGACGATCAGTGGTGAATGATGGGGGGCATTCTCTAGTTAGACAGGAATGGCGCGACGAACAAGCTAACCTCGAGGTCATGAATCGCGATCAGCACCCATTGTGCACTACCCTTCCGTCGTACCAAGGTACTATGGCTGATTTGAAGACCGTCTAACGCAAAAGACGTTATTGCAGAGATACGTTATTAAGAGCAACAAGTGAGAGAGAGTGACTATCGCCGCATGGGCCAGTCCATGGCGTGCAATCAATTGATGTGCGTCGGTTGTCGTTGAATTTGACGAGGATCGATAAACTGTTTGACATTAAGTAATCCGACTGCCGGATGATTTAGCTAGGGCCCAGTGGCACTTTATTGGCACTACACTCTACAGTCATATATCTCAAGAGGAGTTTTTAGATGTACGAGTCGTATGGCTCATTCGGTGCAATGACGGAGAATATGAGCTATTTTTATGCATCATGGCCATATTTACTCTATTTGTTTTTTGTACTGTACGTGCTGATAGTTCAATAACTTCTAGAGGGCGATAATCTTCTTGAAATATAGAGATATAACGCGAAGTTACTGAAGAAACTGAATGCATTTAACTGACTGTAAACCACGAATGTAAACATCAACTAAAAATATCATGATAGAGTTTGACATTGATGTCTTTCGAAGATCCCAAAGCCAGTTAAACAGAAAGTCGGGAACGTAGGATTGTAAAAATCTGTTTGCTCAATGGTCGATTCTTCGTGGTGTTTATAAGTTGAATTAAGTGGTTGTTACGAGAGATAGCACAACGTACCCACTGGCGATCTTGTGTGGACCCCTGACCTAGCACCTTCAGCTTGTGGTGTTCAGTAA